CAGTGCTTTCATTGAGGTTTGTGGGCATTTGTTAGCTCTTTTAAGGTCCTGCCACAGCATTTCAGTCTGGACTTTGCATGCCATTGCAACACCTTGCAATAGTCTATATCTTTTTTTGTCCCTCTGTTATAAATGCTGGATCCTAGACTGAACGGAGCTGAGCACGATCACCACACACAATTAAGTGGAACTGTGGTAAGGTACCAATTTGGAGTCCATGTTTTGTCCTAGCTTTTAAGAAAAATAAAACACAAAAAATGAAAACCTTGATTCTTTTTCAGCCCTTCTGTTGGAGATTTGCTGCTGTGCTTGGGATCATTGTCCTTTTGCATGACCCAGTTTTGGCCAAGCTTTAGCTATCGGACAGATGGCCTCACATTTGACTCTAGAATACTTTGGTTAGAGTTCATACTTGACTAAATGACTGTAAGGTGCCCAGGGCAAAACAGCCATACATCATCACCCCTCCTTCGCCATTCTTGGTAGCTGGTACGAGGTGCTTGTGCTGATATGCCGTGTTTTGGTTTTCATTAAACATGGCGCAGTGCATTATGGCCAAACATCTCCATTTTGGTGTTATCTGTCTTTGGACATGCTGTGTGCTACCATATTCTTTTTAGAGATGGGGCTTTCACCTGGCAACCCTTCTACAGAAGTCACCTTGTTCAGTCTTCTTCTAATTGTGCTGCCATGAACTCTAACATTTAACATGCTACAGTCTGACATTTAGCCCTTGAGCTCTTTGTAGTTTCTCTAAGTTTCTCTTGCTTCAGTGTCCAATCCTATGAAGGTTGAAGCATTGTGTTAACACGTATCTGCATGCTCCAAACTGCTAAACATTCTGCTTCCTTAGAGGTGCTCCCACTTCCTGCTGATCAATTAATCAAGTGCTAGTTAACCTCTTAATTCCTAAATAAGCAGTAACATGCACTTTGCTTTTCCACAGGAATGCCTACAATTCTTTTCTATTCACATGACTGTGAAAAGAAATATCCATTAAACAAAGAATAACTTGCAAGATAAATAATTTTAATTCAAATTGTTTCAGGTTAACCACAGCCTTACTAAGCTGTACATTACATTAAGAGTCACCTTTAACGTCACTTGACTTCTAACCACTTAATAGACAAGCTCCATTTTCATTCTGTGGGCTGTTTTGAAGGTCATACACTGGGCTGGATCCTTCTGACTGGGTGTAGGGGAGTTGCATTTTCTTTCTTAAATAGAAAAATTCAAGTGCCGTCTTGTCTGACCTTGCCCTGCTGTGCTAAACTACATCCCTAGATGGTGAATTGTCTTGCCAGTGCAGATGACTCACAGGAGATGCATATATTTTTAAGCCTCTGCCTAGTACCTTCTCTATTCTTTATTATTAATATCATTTGATTTTCTTCAGGGAATATGCAGGAAATAAGGAATCAATGACTGAATACTTAAATTTCACAATACTTAAATTTCACAATTCTCTTACAAAATTGTAGTTACATAGAAATGGTTTGAGATTTATGTTGGTTTTTATTTCATGGTGTCAGTTTCAACTGCCTTC